TGCATGTAAGATCTTTGTACACATTTTTAAGTTAGGGGAGCATGTCTGTTGCACAGATTGGGTGTATAAATGGCTGTTCTGTGGGAATCAAGGTAAGAGGCCAAGGAAGAGGTACAGGAGGTGACACAAACCACAGACCAGGTCCCAGGATGTCAGCAGACAGGAATTTTAGGATCAGGGATGATCAGGGGATTAGAAGTCCCTGCTAGGGCTTTCAGAATCATAGGCTGGGCCTGGATGTCTGGTTAGGTCTCAGAATGGGGCTTCTAGGGCTTAGGATGTCCAGGGAGCCATCAGTTGATATCAGCAACATTCACCCTTAGAAGAAGTTCACTCCAGTTTAATTTTTAAAAAGAAACTTACCTGTGACCACAATGTCAGATAACAGAGAAAGATGTTAAGTAAAACTCATAATATTCTATCAAAAGAACACACTGCAGCCATTATATGACACACCAGTATTATAATAATATATGAAATGTTCCTACACAGTGCAGTAAAAACATATAGATGATTGCTATGCCAAGAGGCATCAGCTTTGGAAAAGTGATCATAAAAATACATCCAACATCAATACATAAAATATTTTAAAAATTACAGACTATGATGATCTTCTTCTTTAAAAATAGGGGGAATATATATAAAATTTCTAAATATTCTAAGAGCACCATATACTTGTCAGAGTATTTCAATATACTAAAAAGCAATACTATACTATCTTATCTGTCAGTTTGTTATATCTTGTAATCAGTGGCCCATTAAACTAGTGTTTAAGTAAATGATTAAAAAATAGCTGGTATATTTAAACTCATGTTAAAAAAATAAACTCAGACCATTTTATTTGTAAAACATACTCAGCTTTTAGTTATGTTGATAAAAATCTTGAAACTAGGCTCATGTGATGAGATCTTTCAAATCATTAATTATCATTAATAACTAGTCCTATTTCCATGATAATATAATGCTTGCTTTTGTTTATTCTGTCTAGCATCTTTTTCCACTTTTCCTGATCCTCTCTCTTTGAAATGGCAGTTAAATATTTTCTAAAACCTTTCATGCTTATTGAATCTGCACTCTGTGGGGTTTCCCCCCGTGGCGTGAGCTGAAGTCTCCTGTGAGCTGAAGTAGATGGCAGCGTCTTCTAGAGTTGTGGAGACTAATAACGCAGTTGGACCTAAAAGCCGAGGTTTGGAGGTTGAGGATCTTAAGGCTCTTCCTGTGGAAGGAGTTTCCATTTCACCGATGCATCAATTTCATCATCAAAATTCCCAAGCTCTTGCTCCTTAGACAGTTCTAAGAACACCTAGGTAGGAGAAAAGACAATCAGGAAACAAAATGCCAAGATGGTGTTCTTCTTTGTCAAAGGCGGAGGTACAGAAACATGCACGGAGGATGGCACCGGTGTACAGAAAACCCACCTGTTCCAAGGTAGCCTGAGAGAGGCTGTATTCTTCCAGGTCAAAGGTCTGCTTCACTGCATTTAAAAGGAGTGACATCGTTAAAGGTTTGCATAGTTTTCACCAAAAGTGTTCTGAAAACCACCAAACCCACCAACTTCAAATCCATTAGATACTTTAAATATAGGCTAGGTAATGAAGGTTTCATGAAGGATAAACTGAAGTCCTTATGCCACTAATCAATAGGCCTCCTTAGCTATCAATCGCTATTGAGGGTCGCAGTACAACACAGAACCCACTACACAACCAGGGCTCCTTAACCCTACGATAACCATATATAAGTGCATTACTTTTAAATAAGTCTCTTGAAAGTGTTCCTAGTGTCTTATTTCAATATTTTACCTTCAGTAATTTACTTATGTAGGTTCTATGATATTAAAATAGTGGTTAGTCTTAGAAGCAGGTTACTATTCTGTAATGAATATGGATTTATTCTCTATTTATATTCCTGTGGAGGAAACCACTATGTTGACCCCTTTTTGATAACCCCTACAATCATGCATATCAAGGGTGTTCTAAAGATCTGAATCCTAGCCTCTGTCACTAGAACTAGTTCAGACTCTCTTCCTGACTTTTGCTTCTCACTGTATCTAGTTTCCTTCTCGGACCTTCCTTGGAGCTCTCAGTCATTGGCTCCATGGTCTTCCATCTTGTCCCCCCGCTTTTAATAGATGGAAACACTGAAAGCTCAATGTGGTATCCTTTGGGTCATTGTCCTCTGAACACGGAGACCAGGAGCCGTGGATCTGCGGCTCCAGCTGTAATTCTTCACTACAGGATGTTCTTGCTGCCTTTCAGGCTTCCTCATTAGCAGAGAACGAATCAGGCCAGGCTGACCCAAGTCCCAAGCTCACTTCCATTCCATCGTCCTTTTAAAGTCTACTGCATTCCATTACAAGTTTTCCAGGTTTTGATGGATTGCATCACTTCCTTCTTGTGATCATACAGTATACATTCTATGTGAAAAACATTGTAGCATAGAGAGCGCAAAATCTCACTGCCAATGAGCTAATTACGATGGACCCCCATAGAGAACAGAAGGTTGTTGAGGCTGCTGGCCTATGGAAGCACATGACCACATCGTTCTCCCTGGGACAACTGGTGCATCCCAAGCACCAGCTTTTTCCATTGGGCCAAATGCTTTAACCACGCAGCCACAAAGACTTCTTACCAGGAGAAAGTCTTATTTAAAGAAGGGCGCACTTACCGGCCTCTAATTTGAAAAAGGCCTGAGACAGAGGGTGCACATCATCCACGGGCAACTTGTATGCCATCAGAGAGGAGTACCTAGGAGGTGCAAAGCGTGCAATTTACCAGAGCAACTCAGGGTGAGCTGGGGGAGGAGTTGACAGTAAAAAGAAATGATTGCATTTCAAAGTCTCTTTCAATGAAAACATAGCGTCATTTAATTGGACGAAGGCATGAACCTGAAGAACCCTTACATTTGCCACGCAAGCACAAGAGCTCCCTTACCTTTCCTGCCGAGCAGCCTGCGGGAAAAGCTTCAGAATCTCCATGTGGAGAGACTTGGCTTCAGTGGGTTCTTTCAGTTTGATTTCTAGTAAGTAATCCTTCCCAAACTTGCTCTTTAGATGTTGGATGGAACCAATACACCTGCATCCAGGCAAGGAAAAGAAGAACGGAAAGAAAAAATGTAGGCCTCTTAATGTCTCCCCCGTTTCAAAAACAGGAGAGACATGTTAATAATCCACCCAGGAGCTGATGAGGCTCAGCTGTGTCCACTGCACTGCTCTTCTCTGCAGAAGAATTGTTCTTCTGTGGGAGGTCAATGCCTCAGGGGGTTGTGTGGGGCTGGATGGGTGCCCACCTGAGCCTCCCGGACACCATGATGGCCACACGGTCGCACACGGCCTCGGCCTCAGCCATGTAGTGGGTGGACAGGAGGACGCCCCGCTCCTTGTTTCTGACTGTGCTCTGGATCGCCTGCCTGAACAGAAAGGGAAGGTTGCATTTACAAGAAGTCAATCAGAAAAGCAGATATACAGACACCAATACGAAAAGCTCAATAGGACATTTTATAACAGGATACAAGGAAAGATCGTTGCTACATAAGAAGAAGAAAAATGTGCTTCCTTATTTACTATGACCCTATTAGTGCATTGTGCTTTGTAGAGGAAACACGAAGAGCAGAGGAGTATGAAGGAGTGAGTAAAAGTAGTCAGACCTCTGGGGAAGAAAAAAATTGAGTGTATTAGAGAAAGGATGCATTATTTTCCATGATAGGAACATCAAACAGAAGGAGACAGAGGCAGGTGGGGAGGAGGCAGAGGACGCTCTCACCACATCTGCTGCTGCCCTTCGGGGTCCATCCCCGTGGACGGCTCGTCTAGCAGCACCACCGCCGGGCCCCCCAGCACGCTCAGCACGAAGCACAGCTGGAATGAGAGGGTCCCGGTCAGGCCCCGTCTGTGAGCGCTGGGGAGTGACCCTGAGCCCCGCTCCTACCTTCCTCTTGATCCCCTCGGATAAGGTCTTCACGGGCACCTTCAGCTGGTCCTGCAGCTTGAACATGTTCACCAATCTGACAGGAAATATCACCATGACTACACGGGAGACACGTGGCCAAGAAACCCAGCCCGGGGCAACCCAAGTCCCAAAGATGCTCAACATATTCGCTAATCCTGAATCCTGCCATGCGCTGCTTATTTAGGCCGTCCATCCATCTACTTGCACGAAAGCATCAAGACCTGGTTTATGATCTCCTTTTTTTTGTATTGAACGGGAGGGGAGCTTCTGCACCCCTTCTTTCCTCCAGCTGCCATGTCTGCATGAGGCGCCTCTCTGTACCTAGAAATACTAAGAGCAGCTTCCTCTTTGTCTTGTCCTTTCACCGCTGCAAACAGCTCCAGGTGATCTTGCATCGTTAAGCTGGGCCAGAGGGTGTTCTCCTGAGGACAGTATGCCAGGAACCTAATGCTGTCTGCTTGTGGCCTCGCTGATGGGGGGTTGCCTTGTAAAACCACCTACATAAAACATCCAAACGTCAGGTCCGCGCGTGGCTTTCCTGCCAACTTCCCTTCTCCCAAGGGAGATGGAAGTGGCCTTCAAGGGGCAACATTTCTTGAACATGCAAGAACTATATTACAGAATTCTTTATCATTGTAAAGATCCTTTGACTACCGAGTCTCCCTGCTCTGGAGTCGATTCTGACTCATAGCAAACCCGCAGGGCAGGGAGGACTGCTCTTGGGGGCTTCAGAGAGTGCAACTGTAGAGCAACTGCTGGTTTCGAGCTGCTGACCTTGTGTTCAGTTGCCCAGTAGGTAAGCCACTAGGCCACGAGGAATCCTTCTTTACTAACAAACAGGAATACTTATAAAGATACCGAGAGTAGCCTTGGTAGTATGGTGGATTCTGCATTGGGCAACTAGTCACGAGGCTGGGAGTTTGAACCCACCAGCTGCTCCTTGGGAGAAAGATGAGGCTTTTCACAGCCTGGGCTACCCCCAGAGGTAGCTCCACTCTGTCCTTCAGTGTTACCGTGAGTTCGAATGGACTTCATGGCAGTAAGAGAGGCAAGGATGCCATCAACATGGAAATGAAATTTCCCCTGGAGATGAGCACATGCTTCCTTCATAGGTCACCTACCACGCCTGCCGTTGGCTTTGTGTCGCCCATGATCACTTTGATGGAAGTACTTTTACCAGCTCCATTGTGTCCCAGCAACCCCAAAATTTCACCTGGAAGAAAGAGTCCTTAGAAATGCATGACATTTACAGGCTGACAAACCCAACTCACTTGACCCAGTAACATTTTGACAGAAATGCTTGGTCAACTAATGCTGAGTTACAACTCTTTCATCATTGCCTTCCTTCAGATGGGCACGGGAAATCTGGGGTGACATCTAAATACACTGATCTCCCTCAGCCTACACGGAGTTTCTTGCCATTTGAAATGGGATATGATTTTGCAGTAGAAAAACCATCTCTGCTGACATGCCAGCTATTTTTTATAGTGATATGTGAACCGAGGGGCACATATCCCATTTATAGTCCTTAATCTGGAGAATGAGAAATCTCTCTCTCTCTTTACCTATCTCTATCTATCTCTCTACATCCAAACCTTTTTTAACACAGAAGGAAACATTTCTAATGGCGATTTTCTTCGTTCTGGTTGAGAAGCAGCTTTTCTTCTTCCTTTTATATTCTTTGTGTAAACAGCTTGCCATTATGACGGGTTTCTGGAAAACATGAAAAAGTTCCAGTAGCCGAAGTACTCCTATTTCACCTTCCATTTCCTGGGCCATTAACCCAACCAGCTTTTGTGCCATTGGTAAATCAGCCTCTTTTTACGAATAAAATATCCATATTATGTTCAACAATGAAGATTACTTTATAGACCACCATGAAAATTAATTTGTAAGCAAATATATTCCTCTTTCAAAATTAATTTGTAATTAAGTTACATCAAAATTAATTTGTAATTAAATTAAATAAAAATTAATTTGTAATCAAATATATTCCTCTTTCATTGTACTATATGGGTAATTTCTCATTGTCCCCTTTGTTAATTTCATTGAATTTATTTCTTCCTGATGATCGTACAATATAAACTCACGAGCTTTTTCATGATCTACAGTTACTAATGATAGTTCCAGTACGTTGTGAAATGAATTTGTAAATTGTACACAATCAGTAGAATCCCATTCGATCCGTTGAAAAGAGAAATTGAAAGTGGAAAACCTGGCCGATTAAAACCCCCAGAAGAAGGAAAGGAGAGAAAATGAATAAGGGTGATGATGAGGGAAGAAGCTACATTGACAGAGCATGGCTTGGACTTGGCCTGCAACCAGAATGACGATAGAGACACAAGAAAAGAAACAGAAACGCCAACCAATTGTGCACAGGCCAGGTTCTCTAATGACTTCGGTGCGTCACTGAGGGTCTGCTAACGTGCCCTCACCTCATCCACATTTGGAGCAGTGAGTGCATTTGCCGTGTTCACCCTTTCAGCCTGCACATCTTCATCCTCGTCTTCGGGTGCTTCTGGATTTGGCTGAGGATCCCTGGTTCTTGGAGAGATTCTACAGACAAGATAAAGTCAAAGGATCGTGCTGTAAAATAGCCATTGAGACGACGTACACCTTTGAATACTAATCCTTTGTTTTAAATGAATATGGAATGATGAGCTATTTCCATTTCCTTCGTTACTGAAACTCTTTTCTGAACCTGCAAGATTCCCCTTGGAGACAACTGCCCCTCTCATGGCCCAGTCCCTTGAACATTTTGTTGACTTTCTCTTATGTTTACAAAGTTTTACAATCTGTTCACAAGCTCTGTTGCTTCTTTCTTTTAAGTTCTCTTCTCTACGGTCTTGGCTCCCCTTTAGTTTTACCATCCTCCAGATCACCACTACCTTTTGTTCTACCTGTTCTACACTCTTGTCCCACCTTCCCGTCTGCCGTTGCCTCTTTCATTCCAAGACATATTATGACATATGCACAAGTACGAGTTTTGGTATTTAACTACTGCTTGGAACTAAAACTCAAATAAGCTAAAGTCAGGAAGCTCCTCATCTAAACGTGATAGCTCCATCCTTGCATTCAATCTAATTCTGTTTACTCCCCCCCCCCCTAGAAAACACATTACACAGACTCCCTAGCAAACAGTTAGTGAATAAAGCAGTTTCCATTGGTGGTAAACATACTACCATACACATGAAACATTTGAATTACATTCAGATGTCCATTGATTTTTCTCCCAACCTGAAAACGGGATCTTTCCTCCTTGTTTCACTTCCATATTTCATTTCCAGACATCTTAGAAGAAGGAGGAAAAGGAGACTCTGAAGGAATGCCTGCAGGCAAGAAAGAGAATCAGATTGGTGTTACCACGGCATTCCAGGTTAGTGGGAAATATTTGCTTTTGTCAGAAATATGACTATTTTCTTATCACTGTGACGGCATTCTTAGAAAACTCTCACATGCAGGAATTTCTTCAAATGAACTCTACCATGAATACAACCAAAAACCGTAAGTTAAGACATTTTTTTTAATGGAAAAGAGAAAAGAAAAAGCTTTTTAACAGCAGAGAAGAGCTGACAAAATTAGTAAGGGATGTGTAAGCCCAGTTTCAGTTCAGGCAGGAGACAGGCTGAAGGAGTCAGCTCTTTCCCAGAGGTTTTTTTAGACCCCCAAACACTCACATTTGCATTTTCACGGCCTCACCAAGGACAAAAGAAAAATGCCTAGACTGATAAGGCTTCTCCCAGCCAGGAGTCAAATGTGCGACCAGCTGTTTAATCAAGCTTGGGCCTTCCTACAGTCTTAGTAAAGGGTTAGAGAGCACCAAGAAGACTGATCAGTATTGACCTTGAGAAGCGACCACAGTGCGTGAGAGCAGAAGTACAAGACAGACCAAATGCACATCCCCTGGGAAATCCAAAGAGAACCCTTGGCGGCCAAGTGGTTAAAGCACTTGACTGCTAACTGAAAGGTATGTCATCCCAAGCCACCCGCTTGCTCTGAGGGAGAAAGCTGTGAGAGTGACTTCATCAGGCTTGACAGTCCTGGAACCCCCAGGGGGCAGTTCTAATGCTTCCTATAGGGCCACTAGGTGATAGAATTGACTCCAGAGCAGTCCGTTTAGTTTTTGATGGTCCAAATTAGTAGCCCACTGGTGACCCCTAGGAATTTAGCAGAAGCAAAGAAAATGGAAATGCTATCTGAGAAACAGAACGTACCTATCTGGGCATTGATATATGCATAGAGGTTGTTTTGAATAGAATGGAGAAGGCACACATTTTTACAAAAATCGGGCAGGGAAAATTGGGTATCCTTAAAGAGAGAAATGAAATGGCTTTTCAAAACGTGATCGAAAAATAAACCAATTTTAGTTCATGTAGGATATAAATGTGAAAGGAAGAATATTTTTTATATTTAGAAGATTATATAAAAGAATACCTTCATGACCTCAAGGAAAGAAAATACTTCTTCAACATCACCAAATACAAAACAATAATAATACTAAAATCATCACGTGAATAGACTTGTGGGAAAAAATAGCTGATCAAACTTAATACATGTGCAGGGTTTTTTGATAAAGTTTAAAGTTCATCCTTTATAAATCCTAAGAGGAAAAAGAATGAACTCAACTTTTCTCACTCAGATTTTCAGAAAAAGATGAATTTTTATTAAATACTATTTGTAAAGGCAAAGCACTAGAAACAGTTTTGGTAAGATAGAAACAATACAAGAACGTCTGCTAACCCCTGCTGCTAGGTCAGTCCCAACTCAGAGTGACCCTAGAGGGCAGGATGGAACTGTCCCTGTGGGTTTCTGAGGCTGTCAAGCCTGGCAGCAGTAGGAAGCCTCGTCATTCTCCTCCAACCCAACTGGTGGCGTCGATCTGCTTACTTTGTGGTTAGCAGCCCAACCAGTAACCCACTCTGCCACCCGAGCTTGTAGACTGTCTGCTATTAGTCAACAGTATTTCTTCCAGAGCTCAGGCCCATTTCACAAGGCAAGGCTGTAAAATGCAATATGGATGTTCCAAGTAGAAATATGACGATTTGACAATAAAATGATCGTATAACTAGAAAAATGTGTGATCTGCATCTGGAAAGGGAAGCTGAGTAATGAGCACATTTAGTAAGGGAAACCAATCTAATGATAAAAAAGCCCACTAGCAGGTCTAAGAAGAGTAAAGACCTTTTTACAATGAAAACAAACTTATATATAAACAAAGTACGATTCATCAGAACTTTAAAAAATCGTAGCATTGAAATAAGATTTAGGTTTTACTTTGTTTAATGAAAATCAAAGCAGAGCGTATTTTACATCACTATTTTAAAGCCACAAGTTCTGCTGTAATGCATTCGATAGGCTAAACCATGTCCCAAAAAAATCATCAGCATTCTGTTCTCTAGAACTTGACTCTTCAATTCGAATGTCATGAGAACACTTTAAAGGGAGACTGATGATGTGCTTCTGGTCATTTGGCATTGTATAAAAAGCGATAGTAATTACACAGTGTAGCCTTTGCACTGACATAAACCAATGAATCGACAGGACAAAAGAATCCGTTTCATCTATAAAAATCATTTCAATCCTGATAAAGATGCTCTTTCATCTCACAAATGATAAACTGAGTATCCAGAAATGGCATTCAGATGAACTGTCCTAGGCTCAGCTGAGCAGGAAGCGGGCCAAGCCATTCAAGCATCTCCTTCCCATGATTCTCTCCACAACCTCCACAACTTTCCACACAAGCCAAGGACTTTCCCCGCTGTCGCATTCAAGCTTCCCAATCAGGACATAGGGTGCTTTCCCAAACCTAATGATTAGCCACAGCCTGGAGGATATATCAGTCATGTGTTTGTTTGACTCTGCTTCTCTCTTCTGCTCTGGCTTGCTTTTGCCCCTGGCTCCTCTCCCTGCCCCGTCTCTCTTGTCTCCCTGTACTCAGCTACCCTAATCCTCCTGCACCCCGATTCCTCACGCTTCCCTCTAGTCTGGAGGAACAAGAACCCCCCGAATGACGAAACAGGAGTTGTGATCCATACACATTGCAGAAAGCAGGCAAATGCTGGGTTTAACAGTAAAAGGACATACAATACTTGTCTGTTTATTGCAGTAAAGGAAGTTATATTTTATAAACTAAAGGAAAACATGACTCCTTAAACAGGGAATTTCAATAGAGGAATAGAATTAAAAATCAAAAACACAAACTTGAAATTCTCTCATGAAAGAGTACAAAATAAATAGGAAATTCAGTAAGAGAACACCACACTAGATTTGAGATTACCGGAGAAATAATTTACTAATATAAAGGGATTGATAGAAGTGATCTCATCTTCAAAACAGGGAGAGGAAAACAGATGAAATAAAAATGAACAGAATCTTAAGGGACTCTTGAACATCAAGCATTCCAACACACACGCAGTGAGAATTCCAGAAGAACTAAAGAGTAGGAAGATGCTTTAAGAAGTAATGATGGAAAACTTCCAAAAGTTGATGAGAAAAATGAAACTATACATCAAAGGAACCCACTAACCCTGACAAAGTCACGGTAGACTTAGGAGAACCACCGAAGGCATCATAGATACGCTGTTGCAAACCAAAGACCAGGAGAGACTATTGGGGAAAAGGGCTCATTGCTTAGAGAGGGTCATTGATACAATTCACAGTTGACTTCTTAATCAGAAACATGGAGCAGGAGCAAGTGGGCGGACACGTTCCGAAGCTAAAAGAAAAAGGAAATGGAAGAAAGCACAAAGAAGAACTATTGCCCCTAACTGAAGATGGCATACATTCCCAGATTTGATTTGTTGAATTTGAGAGTGAGAAAATGTGAGTGAGCGCGAGAGAGACAGATAAATATGAAGCGCACACATTATATAACACAAGTTATAAATACGCAAATAAACAGAGTACGCAGATAAATAGATACCTAAAGAACACAAGTAAAATTGCTGTCGTTGTCTTTATCACCACATGTAATTCCATATCAGGGAATAGAGAAAGAGCCTGGAGCTTTACCTGAAAGCATTCTATGGGAGGAAGTAAGCCAGTTCTGATCTGGCTCAGAAAATGCTCTAGCCCTACAATGCTCTAGCCCTCTTATCTCCGATGGAGGCAACCCTGGAAGTAAACACAGTCCACACGGCATAGCCACAGAAGAGAGGAGGACCATGCCAACAGCTCTGTGCTGTGTGTGAGTGAAAGGCAGAACTCTATTATTTTCCCTTGTACGTTCCAAATATTTTTGTTATGTGAGCCACAGTTGCATTCTACCTAACCAGTCTATGTCCTATTGGAACAGGTTTATGCCTTTGGCATGATTAGTAAGAGGAGCCTTGGTGGTGCAGTGGTGAAGCCCTCCGCTGCAGTTCAGAGGATGCACAGGTTCAAGCCACCAGCCACTTTCTGGGGGAAAGAATGTTGTCTGCTTTCCAAGAGAGATTTACAGCCTTGGAAAGGCCACGAGACAGTTCTACTCTGTCCAGGAGGGTTGCTGTGAGTCAGAATGGACTGGCCACCATGGGTTTTGATTTTTCATCCTATCAGGAGTGGTCAACTAAATGTTCTCAAAATTACACTGAAATAGAAAATATAATAAGAGTGGATGGATTCAGTATATATAAATTTTGCATCCTTTGAATAGATCAAGCGTATCACATATCTACAAATCCTACACAATACACACTCAGGTAAAAGTTTTTTCTTACAATTAAGACGGTTGCGACCATGGTTTTCACAGCTTCATAATTTTCATTGCCCTCACCTTCATGGTGGGTATAGAGCTGGAAAAAAAAAACACAACAACACAACAACAGGGAATAAATGGAAGTTTCTCTATCTTATAAATATAAAATTTACATAATACTTGATATTTCATCTGGCATAAAAGAAGAATCATAAATCAGGAGCATAAAGGTTTGTTCTCTGACACCCAAATCTCTGCCTTTGCTGACGTCCTTCCTCGGTTATACCTTCTAAGCATTGTTTGTTTTCTGCATTAGTAACCTCACACTTGCCTCTCCTGACTCATCACCATCCCAGAGAGATCAGGTGGGCACTCGGTAGTACACTGTCAATAAAGACAACATGTTACATCTTCCAAGCCACTTTCTACGTTAGGGTAAAGTAGACCCATCCTCAAAGACCTTCGGACATTCACCAGAGTTAAAGTGGGGAACATCTTTCATCCTATGCTCAGACTGTTTCCCCTGAAAGAGTGTTTTGTCAGGATAAAAAGTCCTAGTCTTTTCCCATACTTCCTTCTGGAATTCCTAAATTCCTCCTGCAGTTCATCATAGATTTATCACCCTCACTGTGAATATGAATACCAGTCTTAGTGAACTTAACAGCATTGAATAATACCTAAGTTTCATATAATGCATCTATTCCATCCTTGGACAATAATTATTTTAACAGGCTACCTGATCAAGACCAATGAGACATTGCTTACCAGTATCAAATACACAATAAATCCAAGTGAAGTGCTGAGAGGTATGAAAATCATACATAAAATTATGGTGGTCATTCTAAACCCATCGTATACCATTATGAAGAATGTCATTATTGAAATCTAGTAGGAAAGAAACCAGAGAAATTACAGTTACTTCAGCCATATTTGCTATTAAATCAGTGGTTCTCAACCTTCCAAATGCTGCGGTGACCCTTTAATATAGTTCCTCATGTGGTGGTGACCTGCAACCATAAAATTATTTTCGTTGCCACTTCATCACGGCAATGTTGCTACTGTTATGAATTGGGTGATCCTTGTGAATGGGCCGTTCCATCCCCAAAGGGGTCGCGACCCACAGGTTGAGAACTGCTGCTCTAACTCATTAGTTTTCACAGGTGATATTTCCATGTTCAATTTTAACCCCATATACAGTAAGAGTGTTAGAGTTATTCCTATAGGAAGTATTAAGCTATCACTCCAAGAAATGCTATCATTAAGATCTGATGTAGGTACTTTTATTCTAATCCCTCTTCCCTTATCCCGTCACCAGGCAGGAGAAAGGGGTTCCGAAAGAGTGGATTTACTTCTGCGTTTTCAATTCTGTTCCGTTGGTCTATGTGTCTGCCCTTGTTCCCGTCCCAGTCTGTTTTGACTAGCCCCCTAGAAAAGTGGACCATGCAAACTTCAATCTCCATCATCCTGAGACAAGAATTAGATGGTGCTCAACTACCATTATCAATTGCTCTGCCAGAGATCACATTCGAATGTCTGAGTAGAGTGGGGCAAACATGTGGAGCAAAACTCGAAATTATAAAAAAAGACCAGCCTCACAATTTGGATAGAGACTAGTAGAACCTCAGAGAGTAGGACCTTAGGCAGCCCTTCTGGTCTGGAACTTAATCCACTCCCCTGGTTCAATTTTCAGCCAACAGTAGAGATGTCTAAGAAGAAGAACAACAGTAGTGAAGTATACGCATCTTAAAAGAATCACCCTTTGAGATCCAGATGGCAGTATTGATCAAAGGGCTAAGTTTTTAAGAATTGGGAAAGAAGAAGGCATGGAAACCGGAAACACAAGGAGGAAGTAGGGCACGAGATGGTCCATTGAGAGGATTGTAATGAAAGATGAGAGGAAACATAATGTGTATGTCTCCTCACCCAATTCAGAATCAAAAGTTAAAAAAAAATATTAAGAGGCAGAAGAAAAGAGAACACACATGTTGTTGCCTTTGCTACACCACCCGTCCCTGCCATGGGGGCATGCCTGAAATGGGTTAGGGAAGTATAGAAGAACTTTACACCATGCTACAGAGATGAAGTGATTCTTTGGACTTGACTGGCTATTTTTGTTGTTGTTGTTTTCTGAAAGATGATCTATGTAACGGAATGAGATCATTTTAGTATCTGAGGAGATCAGAAAGCTGTAGTATCTGCTTAGGTATCCACAAGGGGAAGGGAGGGATAAGCAAGAGAATATGTCTGGAAAAATAGGCAAATCCATCCACACATCCATGTTTGTTTATAACTTTGCCTATATGGCCCCCTATTACACTTGTATTTTTCAATAAGGAAAGTTATTTTGAAAGAAAACGTCACTGGGTTCGGTAATTCCTGCTCCTCAACTGTGGGGACTGCCCTAATGACCCGTCTTTCCATTGCGACATGTCTGGATTCCTCTTGGTTTTTATTTCTTTCTCAAGAAACAGAAGCATAAAAACCAACCTCCAAGAAAAAAGGAGGTGGAGGGAATGAAAACTAGTCAAAAATACCTGGAACGGTGAATGTGGTTCAACATTAATGGTGCTACCAAATAAATACCTTTATTTCTTTGGAGGAATGTGGATCTACCTAACGTTGCATTTAAAAACACAAGCTTCAAGAAACTTTCATATAAATGTACATGTGAAGACGTGTATACACACACACACACAATCACATATACTTACAATAAAAAAGACCAAAGACCAAAGGCCAGTATTTTCTCTCCCCTTGTGAAAAATGAAGGAAACCACATATGTGAAGAGTATAATAGAAGCTGCACAGCCAAATAAGCACACCACCTGAGAAGAAGAAAGAGTATCAGCAAGATGCTGGTGGGGGGCGGGGGGGGCTGAGGAGTGAGGGAAAAGAGTCGGAAAGAGTCAGATCAGAACACTCTCAGAAGATGTTTTCTTGCCTTTGACGGATGGCAAAACCTTCATGTGAGTGAATTTTCATTAGGCTTTGTTACTCGATTTAGCCTGGGGTGGAAGTGGGAGATGAGCACTTACCGCGGCGATCATGTATTTATTTAAAATGATGAAGTCGGCAACCATGAAATATTGAATTAAAAATGCGGAAAGGAGAATCACGTAGTACAATGGGATGTCCACCAGAGCCTGTCCGCACCAGTAGGCCGAAGGGTAGAGTCCTGAAACCCTCAAGAGGAAGTGGGTCTTTTTCTGTGACACAGAGACAGAGTACATGAGAGATTGGAACCCTAAACTGGAGAATTATTTTGGTTATATGAAAATATTAATTTCCAATAAACATTTAAAGTAGCATTTATAATAACAGCCTGTTAGGGGGTCTATGTTAGTGACTCAAATAATGAGTCACAAGACATTTCCAGCCCAGTGTTACGAAGGCAGGACTATTCTCCCTGAGAAAACAGGACGCCTGAGAGTCAGAGGCAGAGCGCATGCTCCCGGGGGTCTGACCACTCACATGGGAAGGCCTAGCTGACCGAGCTGTAAAGTGGACTTACCCTTTGGTGTAGATCAATGAAAATGACGACATCGCATTTTTTAAGATCCCAGTTTGTGAACTAGTAGTTACGAGCCTAATAGTGCATGCTACATTTCAATACTCCAAATTCCCTTAGGAATGGTGACGTAACTGCAGGGCTAGCCAGAAGAACCACATCTCCATCTCGGAAGCGGACTTAGCCTGAAAGCCTTTCAAGGTGAGGTGAGTTTACTGAGCTGGGTAGTCAACTTTTGACTTCATTGAAATGATAAGTATTTACTAGACTCTCTCCGTGACAGTGAGTGTTTTTAAAAAATAAGATTATTAGTGATCCAAAGGAGGCATTCGACTCCTGTCAAGAGTTACAGTGTCGGAAACCCAAAGGGGCAGTCCTACCCTGCCCGAGAGGGTCACCATGAGGCAGAACAGACTCCATGACAGTGAGTGTGCTTGCTCGCTTTTTGAGTTTACCCGGAGATGAAGGAGCTTTGGTGGCACAAAGGTTAAGCACTCACCTGGTCATGAAAAGCTAAGGGTTCAAAGTCACCTAGCCACTCGATGGGCGAAAGCTCGAGTGCGCTTCGCCCCCGCCAATCATAGCCTTGACAGCCCTATGCAGTGTTCGCGCTACGCTGCCACAGCAGACTGCTCCACAGCTGAAAGCAACTTGAGGGATATGAACAGCATTGGAGAGAAGAGTAATGTAATGCCTCTATATGTAGGTACATTTCGGTTTTCTGGAAAGAAAATCTTGTGTGTATAAAACATTTAAATTCTATTGACCAATGCTCTATAGGAGTGGTTCTCAACCTTCCTAATGCCACGACCCTCTAATACAGTTCCTCATGTGGTGGTGACCGCCTCAAGCATAAAATTATTTTCGTTGCTACTTCATCACTGTCATTTTGCTACTGTTATGAATCCGGCGAGCCCTGTGAAACGGTTGTTTGATCCCCAAAGGGCTCGCGACCCACAGGTTGAGAACCGCTGGTCTAGATATTCCTTTCCCTCTCACTCTTACTTTGTAATCACTGATGCTGCTCATGCCAATGTTAGGAGACATGCCATTTGCAAAGAACATCAATAGTATGGACCAATTCAGAAGACCAATTCCAATCCTTAAGTCATCCTGAAAGTTAAAAAAAGAATCTATAAGCTACCGATATGGTTACATATCATCCAATCAAGCATAAAACCTTGGTGAGCATAAGGCAGTTATTGTCATTTCTATCCTCATAGTTAAGTATAATCACGTTTGCTTAGTACTGTCTAGATCTTCCCATGTCGTCTTCAGACGCGTGCTTTAGCTGTTTTCCTGGGGTACAGTCAGGAACTTGGAAGATTAACTCCCGTTTGAGGCTGACTCATCATCCAGGTGTTTTGGCCATTGCCTGCGTTCTGATGGAAAGTAGCTGTCTGGAAAGTAGCTGTCAAGGTGTTCAATGGTAAGAGTTCTTTTTGTGGGTGCACTTTATCTTATGACTTTTTATGGTTTCTCACGTACCCTATAGGTTTTATATATAGCCCATCTGCGTGTATCACGTTAGTGGAAATGTTAGGAAAATAGTAAAACTGTAAGCCGAGCACCTGCCAATAACTGGTGTCTATTGCTGTTGGATGCTTGGTTAGCCTGGCTTCCTAATAAACAGCTTTTCTCTTTCTCTGTTTCACTTGGTTAGTCATGGGGCAGATCACTCCTGGGCAGGAACCCAGCTCTTGGGTAACATAGTAAACAACCCAGAAGCAAGCAGAGAGGACCATATATGTCTGACGCCTTCATGGCTGGTTTTCTCCCTAGGAAAAAGGTGATTTCAAAAGTTAGAGTCATAGGTGTAGGCAAGCATGTTTAAAGGAAGAAGTCCCGGTGGGTAGCACAGTGGCTAAAGAGTTCAGCTATTGACTGAAGGGTCTTCCGTAAACTTGGACGCCATGGAAACTCTGTGAAGCGTCCTCTTTTGACTTTCAGGCTCCCTGTGTGGTGGAAGGGACCCCATAGGGTGTCGGTTTGGAGTTTTGATTTGTTTCAATACTTGAAGGGCCTGAGCAGCTTCTATTTCACCTTTGCATCCAGACAAATGGTAGAATGAAGACAAAAGCCCTTTGGACACAACGGTGCTCATCTTTGAAACACTGAACTAAGCTGTCATTCATGACAGTCTCCTGTTTCAGGGTTAAGTGGATTCTAGATACCAAACACTAAATCAAAGTTGCTCCCAACTGCACAATTGAAATATTTCTAAAATTCTAAGAGGAGTTGTTAGCCGGGAAAGAGTATTAATTCTTCTCCGTGTTGTAGAGGACAGGAGAAAGGTGAGGCCGGATATTCAACTAAAGATGTGCAGCTGGGAAATCCCAATGCGGCAGTTCTGCTCTGTCCATTGGGGTCACTGTGAGTTGGAACCCACTCAATAGTAGTGAGATATTTGGGGTTGATCATGTAGATGAATCCTCTTTGACGGCACAGTTTGAACCCACTAGATTCTCTGAAGGATAAAATTGTAGCCGTCTGCCTTTGTAAAGTTTCCAGCTGTGTAGACCCTATGGGAAACATCTACTACGTCCTCTGGAGTCACGATGAATCAGAATCAAGCAATGGATTGGTTTAGGTAATTGTATCATAAAGATAGGTGTGTGTCACACTTGAGTGTCAGAGAGCTTTGATACTTAGAAATAAATCACTTTGCTTCATTTGCAAGGAATTAAAATCAGAATATTAATTTCTGATTGTGGCATTTCCTAGTAAAATCCCATTCTTCACAGTTCCTATTCATGATCTTGGCAACATCCATCCATTTACATAATTTCTCCCTCTTTTGTCTACCATAATGTAAAACATTTATTTGGAATCATTTCAAGCCCAAAGCAGGTTTATTAAAAATTGTATCTGAAGATTAAAATTGTATCCTGTTTCCCAAGATGTTAAATATTAAAAGAATCAAGAGGACACTACAAAATTTGAAATAATAGAGAAATTCTTTAGAATAGTGAACAAATGACAATTTTAGAGTTGGGTAATACATTCTCTACTGGATATATATATACATATATGTGTCTGTGTATATATACACATCTGTATATGTACACATATACATATACATACACATGTGTTGGGCTGTGATCTACATGCTTGGCCGTTTGAAACCACCAGCAGTTCTATGGGAGAAAGACTGGGCTTTCTGCACCCATAACTGATTATCAGGAGTCTCAGTAATCCATAGGTGGGGCTCTATGAGTCAGAATTGACTCCATGGCAGTGAATTTGGTTTATATACATCTACACCTATATCTATGGATATGTGTGTATATGTGTATATATATATATATATATATATATACACACACACACACCACAATTGCTTCTTAGAAAGTAAGAGGTAGATTTAGTGTACTAAAGGATAGAGGTTAATTACATACTGCTAAATTTTCCATGACAAATTTAAATTTAAACACACACACACATCTCTGTTCTTAACACTTAGGAAAACCCAAGAATGCTCATAATAACCCTATAAAATAGATAGCATTATCTCCCCCCATTTACAGATGAGGAAATTGAGGCAAAAAGTGACTAACACACTTGCTAAAAAGTGACATACGCCTGAAATGAAGACTAGACAACCCCAGGTCATGGGCTCCAGTGAGCTCACGCGTTGTCTTCTGCTACATTACCTCTCATAGAACTCAGCACTATACTTACATGAATAAATGATCTTCCCTTTGTTTCGATATGCCCGGTAGAGTTAAAAATTCCAAGAAGGGCATTGCTAACAATTCCCATCAGAACAGGAAAACAATTTAATCTCTTGGTGTGACACGCAACTGAGAATTTGTAATCCTGAAAAACCCAAAGATGAACATGTAAATATAAATCCCAAATTCTTAAGAAGTGATAGGTAACTTATTGCAATAGTGGAACTAGGGTGAAAAGAAGATTAATACTATTTCTTTGACATCTTGCCTTTTAAAATTGGTATAGGAGTGGATTATTCTTATAATTTAAGTCATTGGATTTGTATGTGAAATAGATGAACATTCACTAACAGAAGATTTCAAAGTTTTCCATGTCATGTGACATAGTTAGCGAGTTCATGTAATACGATTCCAGTTTAGAACGTGTCTTTTACAATTTTAAATATGGAACCATTTTCTCGGTCGTGAGTTTGTGGTCTATGTGAGAAAAAAAATAGAGAATATTGACCAAAGTATTAACTGGTATCAGAAATATAATATAAAAGAAAGGGATGAGATTATAGAAAGAATTTCACTTTCTATATTGTACACCCTAAAAATGTTTGCATTCTCCTATCAACTTGCATTATTTCCATAACAAATAACATCACCAATAACATTGTTCATTAATGCGCTTTACACAATTGATGTGTGTATGGATTGCGATAACAGTTGTATGAGCCCCTAATAAAATGTTTAAAAAAAAAAAAGAGGTAAGTGAAGTTGGAAAGCCCTGAACGGATTAACATTTCATACATGACTCACAGGGGGTCCAGGTAGCTTTCTGGGTTGTGCACATATTGAATAGTTCAGTGATCTTTATGCTGTTTCAAAACACTGGAATGTGTTAAAAAGCCACCCAGAACTCAAAAACACCAGGAAGTAAACATACCTTCTCATCACCAGACACGATGATGGCTCCATTGTATGAAGGATCGTCTGAGCCATTTCTGTTTCTAAAGTCATCTACTTCCAAAGTTATGTTCTGATGCTCGATGGAATTCACTAAGTCTTCGATGTTTGATCCTAGTGCAGCCAGGAAAGGAAAGAAGTCAAAACAAGATCAATGTCAAACTTTCAAAGAATAGTTCCAATCTTGTTAAGGGACACCCAGAAAAGTGTGTTAATGACTCTCATCTTCTTTGAGGATGATATTTATGGTAATGTTAGGGGATTGCTGTCCAGCTGAAAATCTTCATTATAACTGACGTATTTACTTAAGTACATAAATGCTTTACGTGTAATTGCCATAAGCTAAGAGACTTTATTCATGTTGGGTGAGATTGTAGTTCACACAGAACTAAGTCTCCTTCCTTGCAAATTTTATAAACTTTCTAGAACCCTGTAATGCTTGTAATGATCAAGGACACACAAAAGTTCTACTTCTCACCTGTGTCATTGATGATCAATAGGCTGGTAAGTGGAGCCTGTGGAAGTTGTTCCAGAGAAAGGAAATACTTACTGGGTAAATATTCCCAAAATTGATTTGGTTCATATATTTTATACACTATGTTTTCCAATATGATAGGGATGAACCCCATACAAAATAACAGTAACCTAAATAAAAGAAAATTTAAATCAGAAGCAAATACAATTTGCCTTTGATTATGTAGGTTATTAACATGCTTCATAACTGCCGGTTCCTGGAAATCATGCACACGCTTTTTCGTTCAGTAACATCAAATTTCAAGATGACTCAGGAAAGGAGCTTAAGCTTGTATGTAAAATTGCACAACTTTGCAAAGTGTCCAAGGACAACCGAGCTTCAGAGACAAGGTGGACTCTGGGGACATAGTTAGTGGGTGTGGAGGTTGACTAGGACAACATGTGAAAGACCATATCTGGTGTCATGAACTTCCAGGACTCTCAAACTGCCTGGTTGCCTACTTTTGACAGGAAAGGCATCTTATTTCACGGTGTGCTGTCCAACTCAGAAGATGCACATTAAAAGAGCAAAAGTTGGACTTTCATCACCTGTTGTTGTCTTCTATGTATAATTTCATGAAATTAGAATTGATAATTAATATACTATTTAGTATGCTATTTCCATACTTTGGAATAGGAATAGAACACTTCCTATTTGTCTACTAAGCTTGTGAGTCCTAGCTTGACAATGGTTATTTATACTTAAATCTCAACAAACACCTGGCAAGTGTTAAAGTCTCAACAAACCACCAACTCCACCTCCTTCCTCCTCCATCTCAGCTTCATATTTCATGGGGGGAAAACAGAACCCATCACATAGTAATTTGGCTGTATGAAAGAAGAACAGGCGGTAGGAAGAAGAGAGAGAGAGAGAGAGAGGAAGGGAGTAATGAAGGGAGAGAGAGTCGGAGGAACTAAGAAATCTACAGAGGTATCTATCCCCCCAGCTATGTCTTGCTTTTGTCAAAGTCCATTACTTCTCCATTACTCTGAATCCAGTCCCCTCCCATCCTCTCTGAGACCTTGATCAATTCGTCCCTCTCCCTTTCCCCCTACACTGTTTCCATCAGCACAGAAGCATGATGTCCTATCTCTCATGCATAACAAATGATATTTCCTCTGGACTCCACATCTCCCTTCAACTTCCACTTTCTACTTCCCTCTGAAGTCAGCTAGCTCCCTCCAGATTTGTCTTTCGATATACCTTTATGAAAAGTTTTACTTTTGATAAAACCTACAATAAATTTCTGTCGGCAAACCCAGCATGCACTTTTGGTTCTGAATTGATAATCTCCTTTAAAACATTTTTTAATTTAAATTGTCTCTTACCATATATTGCCTTCCTCTTCACCCAAGTTAGCAGTTGTCTACTATCTACCTAGTGGCTTCTTCTAGTCAGGGACCTCCTCTTCTTCTTCTTTTTAATCGTTTTATTAGGGGCTCATACAACTCTTATCACAATCCATACACACATCA